AAATGGAACGCCACCAAGCGTACTCACTATACTCCCCAAAGCTCTCATATAGAGGGTAGTGAATGTCGGCATCGGGGTGAAGGTCGAGGGCTCGGTTGAACTCTGCCAATGACATGGTGTGGGGGTTGTTGAAGAGTTGGAAAGAAATTCGAAAGTCGTCATTTTCTAGACTATCCACTTGAAAAGACGAGAAAAACTCTAATGTGGGTTCTTTGTAGGTCATGAATGAGGAGTTTATGAATGACCCTAATCGAAGGTTGTCAAAAAGAATCCACAAATCATCATTAATACCGAGTTTTATCATGTCTCCACGATGGTAGTGTCTAGAAGGTCGCAACTTACGTTTTTGCATTTCCGAGTGTATGGAGGAGTGGCTTTTGTGTAAAAATTTTAGGGTGGGTAAGGCATTGGGTTGGTCTGACTCTTGGTTTTGGGACGATTGTCCCGACTTTGCAGTTTTTCTCTTCTTCCCAATTCTTAGACTCATGACTGCCCACCTCTTTTTTTTTTTTTTTTTTTTTTTCACTCCTTTTCAAAGCCAACTCCGGCTATTTCCACCCTTAACCTCCACAAAACTACAATGTACCTGTTCACAAGCAATAATAATCCAACCACGCAACGAATATAGCCTAAGATACTAATCAACAACAACAAGTTCAACAGAATCCAGCAATAATTTCAACAATAATCAACCAAATTTCGCTAATAACCTAAGATAATCAAAATCCTTACTTAAAATTAATCCAAGAGAATAATTAACTAAGGAGATCGAATACCTTTACCTTTATGCGGAAGATTGCTGTTTTGGTGTCGATTTGGTGAAGGATTTGAGTAGGAAGGGGGGGGGGGGGGTTCGTTGCGGTTGTGCCCTTGATGCCCAATTGCTACCTTTGAAGATGAACAAACGGAGAGGATGATTGATTGAAGCTTGAGGATGATTGATGTGGTTTATATTTTGAGAATGATTGATTTATGAAGGTGGAAGAAGATGATCTTGGCTATGGTGGTGAGGAGCGGCCGCGAAGAGAGAGAAAGGCAAAGAGGGTTTGGTTTATGTTTGTGAGGATTTGGAAATTGCGGGAATATAAGAAGCCACCGTATTTTTTTTTTTTTTCTGATATCCAGAAAGGCGCGCCCGCTCCCGATTAAGGCGCGCCCGCTCCTTATAGAAAACGCGAGCCGCTCCTATATCGCGCCTAAATCGCTCCAACTTCCTGGAAATCAGTAAAACTACAGCGCGCCCGCGCTAATAATAGACGCGCCCGCGCCTTCTTTAAAACGCGAGCCGCTCTGCAATCGCGGCCAAATCGCTCCTGCCTCCTGGAATGGAAGTAATTTTCAAGCGTATACCAGGCGCGCCCGCGAAGAAACCAGGCGCGCCCGCACCTTACTGCTCATGCGGGCCGCGCTTCAGCCGCGATAAAATCGCTCCAACTCCCTGGAATTGGAGAATTTACATTCACAAAAACGGCGCGCCCGCGATGAAACCAGGCGCGCCCGCGCCTTACTGCTGTTGCGGATCGCGCTTCAGCCGCGATAAAATCGCTCCAACTCCCTGGAATTGGAGAATTTACATTCACAAAAACGGCGCGCCCGCAATGAAACCAGGCGCGCCCGCGCCTTACTGCTGTTGCGGATCGCGCTTCAGCCGCGATAAAATCGCTCCAACTCCCTGGAATTGGAGAAATTTTCATTCATAAAAATTGCGCGCCCGCGACGAAACCAGGTGCGCCCGCGCTTTAATGCTGCCGCGGATCGCGCTACAGCCGCGTTCAAATCGCGCTGAGGTTCTGTTTCTTTAGAATTCATCCGAGCACAAATTTAAAAATTCCTCTCTTTTTTAATTTTTCTGCTTTGCTCTTGCCTTTCTTTCCTCGTGGACACACGCAATCACGCCTGCATCAGAATTGATTGGGAAGAGCGTTAGGTGGATTAGTTCAAGCGATTTGAAAGAAAATAAAATCAAAGAGGTTAGAAACCGGGTTGCCTCCCGTAAGCGCTTCTTTAACGTCACTAGCTTGACGTACTTCACACGGAATCATGGTGATTTGGAAACATCAATGAGAGATAAATTTTCTGGCTTCTCAATTAGCTGACCCTCATAGTATGGCTTGAGACGCTGCCCATTCACTTTGAATGGAGGGTACTTGTCATTGAAAATCTCAACCGAGCCATAAGGAAAGGTTTTGGACACTTGAAATGGACCGCTCCATCTAGATCTCAATTTCCCGGGGAAGAGCTTGAGTCTTGAATTGTAGAGCAGGACCTTTTGTCCTTCCACAAATTCCTTCTTGGAAATTCGAGCATCGTGCCATGCCTTGGTTCTTGCTTTGTAGAGGCTTGCACTGTCATATGCATTCATTCTCAGCTCTTCCAACTCATGAAGCTCTAGAAGCCTTTGCTCACCCGCACTGTGGAGATCAAAGTTGATTTGCTTGATTGCCCAATGCGTTCGGTGCTCCATCTCTACGGGTAAATGGCAATGCTTCCCATAAACAAGCTTATAGGGGGTAGTCCCTATAGGAGTCTTGAAGGCGGTCCTATATGCCCACAATGAATCAATGAGCTTACTGGACCAATCCTTCCTTGTTCTAGCAACAGTCTTCTCTAAGATGACTTTTAACTCCCTATTTGTGACCTCCGCTTGACCACTTGTTTGGGGGTGGTAAGCAAGGCCTCGCTTGTGAGATACACCGTACTTTGAAAGAAGCTTGTTGAATGCATGGTGCTTGAAGTGTGAGCCTCCATCACTTATGATAGCCTTAGGAACACCGAATCTTGGGAAGATGACTTTCTTGAACAAATTGATGACCACCCTTGAGTCGTTGGTGGGAGATGCCACGGCTTCCGCCCATTTGGAGACATAATCAACGGCAACTAGAATGTGCCGGTTTCCTTGGGATGAGATGAAAGGGCCCATGAAGTTAATTGCCCAAACATCAAAGATTTCAAGTTCAAGAATAGGATTTTGGGGCATCTCATCGCGCCGTGATATGTTCCCTGTCCTTTGGCACCTATCACAAGTCTTAACAAATTGCCAAGCATCTTTGAATAGAGACGGCCAAAAGAGCATACATTGCAAAACCTTGGAAGCGGTCTTTTGAGCACTCATATGACCACCACAAGGGGATGAGTGGCACATTGAGAGCACATCTTGGAATTCTACATTAGGAACACATCTTCTCAAGAGTCCATCCACCCCTCTCTTCAACAACATGGGGTCATCCCATATATACTTCTTTGCTTCATGCTTGAGCTTTCTATGTTGTTGAGGAGTGAAATCCGGAGGTATGGCACTACAAGCCAAGTAGTTCACAATATCCGCATACCAAGGCTCCGATTTTGCCTCAAGAGCATATAAGACATCATCCATTAGGGCATCTTCAATTGGCAAATCGTCTTCATGTATTCTTGCAGCTCCTAACCTAGAGAGGTGGTCCGCCACCACGTTCTCGGCTCCCTTCTTATCTCTCATTTCGTAATCAAAATCTTGAAGGACCAACACCCATCTCAACAACCTCGGTTTGGCCTCCTTCTTACTTATCAAATATTTGAGAGCCGAGTGATCGGTATACACTATTGTCCTAGAACCAATGAGGTAGGTTCTAAACTTCTCAAATGAGTGGATAACCGCCAAAAACTCTTTTTCGGTAGTTGTATAATTTCGTTGGGCATCATTGAGAGTCTTGGACAAATAGTATATAACGTGAAGTTTCCCATCCTTTCTTTGTCCCAGAACTGATCCAATGGCCCCGTCGCTTGCATCGCACATTAGCTCGAATGGTAGAGACCAATCCGGTCCTCGGACTACGGGGGCGGTGCAAAGGGCCTTTTTCAACCTGCAAAATGACTCATGACAAGCTTCATCAAATACAAATTCTTTATCCTGTTGCAAGAGAGATGTGAGAGGCTTAGCAATCAAAGAGAAATCTTTGATGAAGCGGCGGTAAAAGCCGGCATGACCAAGGAAGGACCTCACTTCTCTCACATTTGTGGGAGGAGGAAGCTTCTCGATCACATCAACCTTCGCACCATCGACTTCGATGCCCGCTTGGGAGATTTTATGGCCAAGAACAATGTCGTTTTCCACCATGAAGTGGCATTTCTCCCAATTGAGCACCAAGTTGGCACTCTCACACCTTTCTAAACAACGAGATAAATTCATTAGGCACTGCTCATACGTGCCTCCACCAACGGAAAAATCATCCATAAAAACTTCCATTTCTTCCTCGATCATTTCACTAAAAATTGACATCATGCATCTTTGGAAGGTGGCCGGGGCATTACAAAGACCAAAAGGCATCCTACGGTAAGCAAAAGTTCCGTAGGGACAAGTGAAAGTGGTCTTTTCTTGATCTTTTGGGTCAATTGGGATTTGGAAGAATCCCGAATAACCATCAAGAAAGCAATAAAAAGCATGCTTTGTAAGCCTCTCAAGCATTTGATCGATGAACGGTAATGGAAAATGGTCTTTGGAAGTGTTGGCATTTAATTGGCGGTAATCAATACACATGCGCCAACCCGTAACAAGCCGAGTTGGGACCAATTGTTGCTTATCATTGATCATTACCGTCATACCTCCCTTTTTCGGCACTACTTGAACCGGGGATACCCAATCACTATGAGCGATTGGATAGATGATCCCTGCTTCAAGTAGCTTGGAAACTTCCTTTCTCACAACCTCTTGCATGGAAGGATTAAGTTTCCTTTGCCGTTGCCTACACGGCTTAGCACCCTCCTCTAAATCGATCTTATGCATGCATAGGGAGGGGCTTATACCTTTGAGATCATCAAGAGTATAACCCAAAGCCTTCCTATGCATTTTCAAAACATTAAGCAATGAGGAGGTTTGCTCTTCCGTGAGGTTAGCATTGATAATGACCGGAAAAGTATCATTAACATCCAAAAAGACATACCTCAAGCCCGAAGGTAGAGGTTTCAATTCTACTTTCGGAGCTACCTTACCATTGGAGATTTCCTCCTCTTCTACTTGGAAGACTTCATACGGTTGGGGCATCTCTTGGTCGGGGGTTGTCTCTTCTTTCTTCATCAAGCATTTCCTCATATAATTGCATCTCCTTTTGATCACCTACCTCATTCTCATTCAACAAAACATTCTCAAGTAGATCATTAGAAGCATGCATATAAGGGTATCTAAACTCATTCATCAAGTTTTCAATTGTATCTATTCTAAAACATTCATTGTCAGAGGAAGGTTGTCTCATCACCTTATTCAAATCAAATTCGATAGAATCATTGTCAACCTTCAAGGTCATCTTGCCTTCTTTGACATCAATAATTGCTTTAGAGGTAGCTAGGAATGGCCTACCCAAGATTATAGGAATTCTTTCATCTTCATCCATTTCAAGAACATAAAAGTCCACCGGAAAAGTGAACTTACCGACTCTAAGGGGTATGTCCTCTACTTTCCCTATAGGCAATTTTGTGGACCTATCTGCTAATTGGAGGGTGATGTTTGTAGGTGAAAGGTTTCCCACATTAAGCTTTTGGTAGACCGAGAAAGGCATTAAACTCACACTAGCACCTAGGTCACACAAAGCCTTCCCCAAATGAACTTCATTGATAGAACAAGGGATGGAAAAACTACCGGGATCTTGCAATTTAGTTGGTAGCTTACTGGAGAGAATAGCACTACAATTTGCGGTTAAGCTAACGGTTTCAACTTCTCTCCTTCCATTCAGGAGGTCTTTTAGGAATTTAGAGTAGTGTGGCATCTCTTTCATAGCATCCACAAAGGGTATAGAAACATGCAAGCTCTTTACTACATCTAAAAATTTTCCAAATTGGACATCAAGCCTAGACCTAGCAAATCTTTGGGGAAAAGGCAACCTCTCATTCCTAGGTTGGAGATTAAGGGGTAAAGATGTTTGATCTTTGGTGCTCTCCTTTTCGAGTTCCTTCTCTTTCTCTTTCTCACCCCTCTCATTCTTTCCGGCACTTCCCTCTAGAATCTCATTCTCTCTTGATGATTCATCCTCAACCTCAAGTCCTATCCTCACATCGGGACTCTTCTCAACATTTAGTTCACTCTCAAGGATCTTCCCACTTCTAGTAGTAATGGCATACATAGACTTGGGGTTGACACCTTGACTAGGTAAAGAAGAAGACGAAGAAGGGGAGGATGAAGAACTTGGTTGGGCAATTTGAGAGATTTGGGTCTCAAGTATTTTCATGTGTGCCTTGATTTGTTTCTTTTCTTCCTCTTGACTCTTATTATGGTTTTCTTGATTTTTAATGAAATTTTGAAGCATAGCCATCATAGGATCAGGAGGGGCTTCTATTTGGAGGGGTTGAGTAGGGGGAATTTGAGAATGGGGCCTTACTTGGTCAAAACCGGGGGGTCTACTATTTTGTGAGAAAGTAGAAGCATTTTGAGGTCTATTACCCCCGGAACCCTGATTGGAATTAAAACGTTGTTGGTTGTTGGAATAGTGTTGTTGGTTTTGATTCCAATTGGGTCTTTGGTTTGAGTAACTTCTTCCATTGTAATTGGAAGAGTTTCCCCTACCTTGGCCTTGGTTATCATAACCACCACCACTTTGATTCCATTGACTTTGATTCCAACCTTGGTTTTGATTCCAACTACGGTTTGGGTTTTGATTCCAATTTGGTCGCATTCCATTATTTCCCTCACGGGGCACAAAATTCATGGCATTAACATCTTCAACATTATCATCATTTTCATGGGGAGGGGGACCTTCACTTATGGACATACATTGTTGAGAATTATGATCATAGCCTCCACATATATCACAAAACATACAACCAGGAGGCATGGCATTGTAATTAGAGGGAGAAGAAGTAGAAGGATTCATACCATGGCCTCCCTTGGGAGAAGGGGAGGAAGCATTTTGGGAACTTGATTTCATGAACTCCTCCATTTGTTTCGCCATCTTTGCCATTTGGTTGGAAAGATTTGTGATGGCATTGGTTTGCTCGACGGAATGTACCGTTCCTTTGCTAGAAGTGGCTTCCCTCTCACCTTCGTACCAATCCTCATAATTGCGCACAACTTCTTCTATGATACTCTCCACTTCATCTTCCCTTTTGTTCATGATTGGGCCTCCGGCTCCGGCATCAAGGCTAGTCTTACTTTGAGGGGAGAGTCCTCCGTAGAATGTTTGGAGAACTTGCCAATTAGGAATCCCATGGTGTGGGCATTGCCTTTGTAATTCTTTGAATCTCTCCCATGCCTCACAAAGAGACTCTCCACCTCTTTGGCGGAAACTTTGAATCTTTGAGCGAGCCTCGCAGTTTTCTTGTGATTGTAAAACCTTCCTAGGAACGCCGTAGTTACCTCATTCCAAGTCGTGAGGGAACCGGGAGGAACATCCTTGTTCAACCAATGTTCCGCCGCTCCCATGAGTGAGAACGGAAACATCTTCAATCTTATGTACTCTTGGGACACCCCGTTGATCTTGATAGTGTCACAATACTTGAGAAATTCTTTGAGATGCTCATGGGGATTCTCAAATTTCCCACCGGTAAATTGCCTCTTCTCTATCATTGAAATGAAATTAGGCTTTATCTCGAAATTGTTCGCTTGAGTGGTGGGGGCTAAGATCCCACTTTGTGAGGCATAAGGTTCGGGTGCTCCAAGTTGCTTTAGTGACCTTTGATCACCCATGCTTTGTTGATTATGGTATTGGGCAAATGGGTTGGGAGTTAAACCTGCAAATGATTCACGATCCTCACTAGAAGAGGGTGAAGGAGTAGGAGAGCTACTAACTTCCTCTTGGAAAGGGTTTTCCACACTATCCCTAATTTCCCTCCTCAATTGAGCAAGGGTGCGCTCCAGCTCTGGGTCTATGGGCGCCAAAGGACTAGAACTTCGTTGCCTCCTGCGCATATACAAAGCTAAGTAGAAAGTGAGCACTGACAAGCAAGGAGTAGTAGGAAAATTAAACAAGTGAACTAGTCTCAACGAAGGGATAAACGTACAATGGAAACCGTTTCCCCGGCAACGGCGCCAATTTGACAGGCGGTATTTTAGGTCGTCACTAAGACACCTCTATCAAATGATATTTGTAGTCCTAAACATGCAACTAAAAGAGTATAAAGGCAAGTTAAGGGTCGAACACAGGGAAACGATTAAGCACCGCTATTTATCTCCTAATGTTAATCTAATTCGATCAAGAAGTGTGGTGGGTAAAGTAATGACTAAAGGGGATAGAACAACAATTAAAATAGGTACTAGGGGGAAGGATCAAACATGCTTTGATTTCAACGAAGTTAGGCATCGGAAAATAGGTTTACATGTAACCCAAGCGACTCATACAAGGCAATATCAAGAATACTCTCCAATCACCTATCGGGATTAAGAGCCTTCCTAGCTAACATACGCTCACACTATCGTCGTAAGGCATACAAGCTAAGGTCATGCAATAATCAATCACCTAATGACTATTCCTAAATCGCACTATCGTCACGATTTAGTTCACGTCATTCAACCACAACATGCATATGGCCATAAACATGGAGTGACTAATAAGTATAAGCACAAGGAAGATTTAATCACAAATATTCCAAATTAACCTAGCCTAACATACATCAAACTCAAAGTATATCTTCACCAAACCCCTAGCAACAAGAAACTACTCACTAGTCATAACTACAACTACAATCATGCTAAACAACATTATAACCAATGAAATGGTAAGAAAGACAAAGTTTTTATCAACTAAATTAACAAGAGTAGAAGCTTTAATCATAAAAGCAAGAGACAATAGAGAAATATACCAAAACCTTCATTGAAATCCAAATAAAGAGCCACACATCATTCAATCTTCAATCTCCAAGCTTGACCATACATCAATGTTGCAAAATTACTTCTTCAAAAACTAAAAGTAAAACTAATGTTGATAGAGAATGAGAATTACACTAAAAGCTATATGATTGTTCAATACAAAATTTCTCTATCAAAGACCTAGGAAATTGATATTTTTGAGCTCTCCCCTTGGGTTTCTATGCTCTCTTTTTTATCTTTTTTTCCCCCGTTTTAACTTGGGCTGAAATCGGGATTTGAATCAGCAGCAGAGAGGCGCGCCCGCGCCCAACAGTGGCGCGCCCGCGCGTTAAATGATGGCGCGGCCGCTCCTAGAAATACGCGCCCGCTCCAAAGAGGGTATTTAATGGTTGATCCCGCTCATCAGCGCGCCCGCGCTCTATAGATGCGCGCCCGCTCCTTTGGTTGCGCGCCCGCGCCATTCGTCTGGTTTGGACTTCTTCCTGTTTTGCCCTTATCCCTTCCATCTCTGAATCAACAGCATACGCCTGCAATCATGGAACAGGAAGGCAAGGCGTGATACAACGAAAGGGGAGGGGAGTATAGACTACCTAAACCACATGAATACACATTACGCGCCACAAAGGTAGAATACTCGAAATAGGAGGATCATAGCAAAAACATACTAAAATGAACTGAATTATTACTAAAACTACTAGAAAAGACTATCCTAAGAGCGACATAAATGTCACTCATCAGCAGCACTAAGATTATCTAATTTCTGGAAGATAGAGGTTAATTGACCTTGTAAGACAGATATGGAGTCGACACTATGTTTCCCTTTGTTAGAAAAGCCTCTAGGATTCCATATTGGGAGTTATGAATTGCCATATGTTCAATAACTTGGCTTGCATCATCAACATTAAGGTTTATAAACCTCCCACTAGCTGCAGATACCAATATTATTCTAGATGAATTTCCAATCCCATTGTAAAAGGCTTGGATAAACAACCATTGTGCCAGATTACGGTGGGGGCATTCTCTCTATAGATCCTTAAACCTCTCCCAAGCCTCATATAAAGTTTCATCGGCCTCTTGGGCATAGTTCTGAATAGCACTCCGTAATACAGATGTTCTCTCTGCAGGATAATATTTATTATAGATTATAGATATTTAAAACAAGAGTTTCCTAGTCAGTTATACCAAGTGTAGTTCTATTTAATCCTTTAAACCATAATTTGGCTTTTCCACATAAAGAAAAAGGAAAGAGAATCTCCCTGATTTGGTCTTGTGTGACCCCAGCTTGCCTGATGGTATTACATTACTGACAGTAGTCTGCAATATGAAGATTTGGGTCTTCACCCTTAGCTCCACTAAATTGCTTCCTTTCTATCATCGTGATAAATTGGGGTTTAATCTCGAATTATACCCCATCAAGTGCTGGAGTAGGAGTAAGGTGTGGAAAATCTGTAAGCTTTGGATGTGAATAATCACTGAGCTTCTTAGGTACCGCCATCTCTGACTCTGGATCTGAAGATACCTTTGAGTCGCTAGAATCAGTTGAAGGGTCTCGGTGATTATTATCATCACCAAAACTCGCCAGGATTTGCTTGTAAAAATTATTTTGTCTATGGAAGGATCGTTCCATCTTGGGATCGAATGGTATGTAACCTGATCTGGAACACCTGGGCATAAACAAAGAACTAAAAGAAAATACGAGACTTGCCTCAAAGAACTAACGTTCTCTAATACAAAAAGAAATAACCTAGATTACAGAAAACAATCAGAAATAAATATAAAACTGTTTCCCTGGCAACGACGCCAAATTTTGACAGGCTAAAGTCGTATCACCTAGTCAAAACTAATTCCTAAATCCTCTAACTAATGTAGATAGGGAAGTAAGGTCGAATCCACAGGGAAACTGGTCTTTCTATTCCTAATTAATTAAAGCAATCTAAATTATCTAGTAACAATTTAATAATATGGATATAAAACCAAACTACGGAGATTAAGAGTAAAGAGAAAACAATGAATAAAGGCCTAGGGCATAGGTTCACCAATAAATAACATTCCAGGGTAAAAAATAATAATCAATCATCAATGCATAAATTAATCAGATCATAAAGGGCTTTCGCTACGAATTACAATCACAGAATTAATCTACCGGTATTAAATCTCATCTCTCGAATCTCAACTTAACCATTTATAAATTAACCTGCCTATTGAAACTAGACCTAAACATCAATTCTCATATCTCAAATCTCAAATCAATATTGTCGAACTCATGCATAAAAGATAAGGCCTAATCTAGTCACAGAGCATTAAATCAATCAATAGGAAATTAATCTAGCATTGATAATTAACAACAATAAATTAACCCTTCATATTATTTATGGTTCCTCACAAACCCTAGAAATAAAACTACTCACACATAATTAAATCTAAACTAATCAACGCAATAAAATAAGACATGATGAAAGAATTAAAGTAAATAACTGAGATTAAAGTAGAAGAAATCGTTACCAAAATAATCTGAATAAAGGAGTTGAGTTTAGAACAAAGTTGTAGAGAGAGAAACTAATCTAACAACTAAGAAGAGAGAGAAAATCTAAGAGAAGAAGTAAAAAAGAATAAAAAATAAAATGCTAAACTTGCTTAACGGAAAAGTATTTATATTAAGCAAGAATCCTAAACTAAACAAACTTAAATGACGATTAAAAGTCTACTAATGGTGACACGCGCCCGATTGGGAGAGGCACCACTCGATCGGGCCCGCCTTTCTACTCCCAATGAATGTTTCTCGTGCCCGGTCGGGCGCGAGTTCGGGCGCCAACTTCTCTTCCCTGCCCGGCCGGGCGCGCCTTTGGGCGGAAGCTCTAACGAGCGAGTTCGGTTGGGCGACACTCTTGGGATACTCCTTGGACTTATATTGGGCTCCAATTCTTCAGGCCAATCCGGATTTCCTCTTCAGATCTTGAATACTAGGTCCAAATGCCCCGGTATCACATATGGCGAGCCCTTAATCCCCGGTTCGATGGCTCTAACCGGCCCTGGGCTATGAAGGATGGTCATGCATCTCCAATGCTCGTAGATACTCCATAATATCTCGGGAAAATGCTCCAAAAGTGCAAATCCCTGCAAAAGTCAACAAAATCTACAAAAACACTAGAAAACACCAATTAGTAATAAAAGTGGCTCTAAAGAGCCAAAAACACTACTAATTATGACCAAGGGGCGGGGGTAAAATACTATATATTTGATTAATCGTATTAGGTTTTTTTAGGGACGGGGGTATCACATATCACTATGCTTGCCTTTTACTCGTATTAG